TAAAATATCGAGACTTTACTATGAATAGTTTCTTTTCACCTGATAACATGACACGCTCAATGGCACACTGTGTTGTTTAGTTAACCAAATTTAATTACCCAAATGTTATTTTCAGTTTATGTTTTCAGCTAAAACTTTAATGTTGGTTTCTGTAAAAAAAAAAAAAATAATTTTTCAGTGCCTCACTAATTTAAACCTGCAAATAAAGTTGTTGTTTTTTTGGATTTTGAAAAATGTACAGGAAAGATACATTATGACATGAAATGATTAAGATTAAGATGCTGCACTATTTCTTGGTCACTAATCAAGTTTGTGACATTGGTCATGTGAGAATGTTCTTGATCCATTTGAAGCATGCAGACCTAGATTGACCACTCACAATATCCTGTCTTAAATCTCTGTAGGCACACATTCCTCCTACTCCATATCACAGCCTAGATTTCGTTCACGGCATCCTCATAACTTGATGTAACTGACATGTTAAATTTAGCTTAATATATATGAAATCTCTTTATTCAGCACAGAGACACAAGAGCAGACGGAACATGGAGCAGAGGAGCAGGAGAGGAGTAATCCTGCAGAGCCAGGAGATAAGGAGAAAGGTGAGTGGAAACACCATGGGATATTAAAAATAATAAACCATCACAGGTTGTGAATTAGTGCATTTTTCTATGATTTTGGGGTGTTAGATATAATACAAAGTAGACAGTATGATAAAAGACACACACAGCTATGTTTGAAAGTTGACATGTTTTTTTTTTTTTATGTATATAGACTCTGATCCTAATCAACCTGACCCTGAGAACTCAGCAGCATCTGCCAAGTCTGAAACAGAAGATCTTAGGTGAGTTACACAGCACACAACCACTCGTTCTGCCTCATGGAAGTGCACCCAGGACAGTCATTGCATTATGTGATTTTCTTTCTATCACTCGCATTTAGGGTTGGGTATCGTTTTTTTTTTTTTTCGATACCGGTGCCAAATCGATACTTTTAAAACGGTTCCGGTGCCCTAATGTTGTATGAACCGATACTTATAAAAAAAATAAAAATAATTCCCCCCCAAAAAATTATGGATTGGCCATTAGTACTATAAACACATGATGTCTGCTTCATTCATACAGGACGCCACAGGGCGCCCTCGCACAGAAAATCCACATATCCAGTCACAGAAGTAGAGAACTCATGACCTTCCAGGAAACCCCTTACCGGTGCCATATTGGTACCGGGTTTCGGTACCCAACCCTACTCGCATTCTTACTCTCTCTCATTCTTGTCTTTCCTCAGGGCTAATAGCATCACTGGTGGATTGGTGAAGGGTGCTCTGTCCGTGGCAGCATCTGCCTATAAAGCTCTTTTCACTGGACAGACTGGGTCTGAGAAGGTGAGTTTGGGAGCTGTTCACACAGGTTGCAAAATGGAAAAACATTTTGAAATAAGCTTCCTTTAAACTTCCAAACTTCCTTTAAATTCACAAAGCATATTATGAATGTGGCAATGGTGCGAGACTCTGAGCAATCTCTTCTTTTGTCCTATATTAAAAATAAATAAAAATAATGCGATTATATAGTTCATTACATGTGATTATAAATTGAAGCAATGAATTGTTTCAGTTTTATTTGATGTCATTTTATATACGATAAAGTTTATTAAAAAATCGTGCTTTACAGGACCGATTTTGATCAAACGATAATCAAAACGATGATCAAAATCAGTTAAAAAATGTTATCAAACTATGATCAAAATATATTTTGCCACTGTGAAACAAAATCACCTTATAAAAATAATAACTCTAGACAGTAAAGTGCATGTACAAAGGACTGTATAAGTGCCTAGTGTATAGTGCAACATTTGGGACATACATCAGTAGTAAAAAAATATATATATATATTTGGGCTGTGTAGCTCCCAGAAGATGCAGCTTCTCATGACGCCATGATGGCCGTGCTGGTAGAGATGGGCTTTGGTGACCGAGCACTAAATCAGCGTCTGCTACAGAAACACAACCGCAACCTGCTGGATGTGGTAAACGAACTGGTGCAGATGACTAATAACGACTGGTACACGACACGCTACTGAGATGCTGGTCAATTATTTTGTTTCTCTTACATGTGATTTTTTTTGTTTCTCTTTCTCTGTGCAATCAGCAGACCATTCCATGATACAGACTCTTTCGTTCCATTTGGGTTGTAAAGATAGTGTGTGTGAATCTGTCTGCTCCAATGTGTAACAGATAATCATTAGACAAGCAGTTCATCACCTTTATAACTGTGCTTGGTAAAGTTTGTTGTTAGTGGGCATTAATGTTTTCACAAAGATGATCATGGGTAGCTAATGAACACTAATAGGTAATTATTCATCCAAAACTATTCAAGAAATATGCCATGCTTTTAATAAAAACTTGATTTGAAAGAATGGTATAATTAACAACAAATCATTCTAATAGTTAAATATGAAAAGCTCTGCAATGTGACTGGATATTTTTAATATTTAGAGTGTTTTGTGTTCCCAGTTTAAGAACAGGTTTTGGAAAAGTGCAATAGATCTGGCTTTGTGTGGACCCTTAATCATCAGCCGAGACCAAATAGACTGATAACTTTTGTCATCTTTACATGGACTCAAGATGACAAATTAAAACGATTCCATACTGGAGAGGTCAATATGAAGTTGTGTGTGAATTATTATTATTTTTTTTTTAGTAATTTTGAACTGTTGTGTTGCTTATAATACATGTGGGAATTATTATTATATTGAAGACCATTGATTAGTTTCTAAAAAGTCCACAAAATAGGGCACATACTGCACTTTGTGAATGCGTTGACATTTAAATATATGAAAAATGTAATGGCTTGAAGCAGCAATGCATTTGAATAGTTAAATGGACTGAAATGTAGAGTATTTTAATTCATGCTTTAAATGGTTAAAGAGGCAAATGCAATCATGACATATTTAACTCCAATTTTAAATGGTAAGACATCAAAGTGAGAGACAAAATGAATAACAGCCAACATTCAAAAAAATCAAATCATGCAAATTATATATATTTCGATAATTAAATAGCTCTTGTATTTAGTGTAATGAAGAATGTATCTCAGCACTTTTCTTCAATGGGAGATTTTGAAACTACCTACTGTCTAGGGTGTGGAAAGCATTCCCTATAAATGATTTAACGTCTCCTGATTTGCTTTTATCCATGATGCTCTCACAAGTGGTACATCCATCATTTAACTGACTGATCGATCACCCACTTGTTTTTCCAGAGATAGGGCTTAAATATGTTTTAGCACATTCCTTAGGAAAGCCGTAAGTTGGTCTTGTTGCTTGCAGCGATCAGTAGAGGTTCTGGGTGGAACTGTTTGGATCATGTGATTGTAAAGCATAATCAGTGGCGACAGATGCGCCTCACTCTGTGTTTGATGCCTGAATGGAGTATTCCGTGTCTCTGCATCTAATGTACACATCTGTCTGTAATAAATATCTTAAGTCTTTCTTTTGCTCTCAGTCTTTGATAACAATGCACCACAAAATCCAAAGTATAGGGTTCTTTAAACAAGACTATTAAACTTTCACATTACACTTAACCTACATGCTAGAAATATACATAACCTGGATGTTAAGCACGCTGCACAATAAAAGCATCTGTGATTTTTGTGTTTTTCTAGCAAACCACTAGTTTTCAAAAAAGTGGCGGAATCTTTTTTCCAGCCGTTGACAAATTAAGTTATTTACACATATTTGTTGAATAACAAAGTGTCAGTGAAACTAAACAGTGATTTAGTGTACAGTTAATCAGTTTATCTCTTTATTTTAATAGAAGTGAATACAATACAAAAAAAACAAAAAAATGTTCAGTGTATTAAAACATTTACTACAATAACATTAGAACTGCTGATTTATTTGCAAAGCATTATTAATACAAATAATCAACTATTTACTTGAAGCACCCTCTGAGATTTTATGTAATTTCTATTTTTTAAAAATCAAATCTGTTTAAGAGTTTGGGAAACCTGCACTAAAACCCTAGATTTGCTATATAGCAAATATAAAGCAAGCCTTAAATGCAGAGGAATGTTATTTGAATATAGAGGCAAGCCTATTCGATTCTGACAACTGCACATGCAGCAAAAGGTAATTATACAGTATGTTGCAGAACAGCCAGTTTCCCAATAATCCATGTTCAAACAGAACAGAAAGCAGTCACATTACTAGGGAAATGAATACCGCATTCTAAAAGAACATCTACGTTAACAAAGAGACTGTGATGCATATTATGAGGCTTGCAACAACATTAAAATGACCATACTATAAATTCCACTCCAAGATAACAGAGCTGAGTAAAGAATGTGTAAAGACATTCAGTTCTTATCATATATATTTACTTTTAGTTTTAACTAAAGTACCACATGTGATGAAACTCAACACCAAAAGACAAGTGGTCAAAAGACATGCACTGTGACCACAATATTTGATTTGTCAGAAACATGTAAATGTGTAGTGTATCTCTGTGGCCGGATCTCTAAAAGTCACTCTTTTCAACATTTCAGACACATGTATGATAAAAAATTTAAACAAAAACCATAATTCCCCATATAGTTCCATGTAGTTTGTATGCAAAGCTGGTAGATAAGTAGGTTTGTGCTCCAAGATGATTTTCAAGTTTCAAGCCGTTTAACTGGAGTTTCTTGTATGGTTTCTCCCCGTTTCAAACTAAACTAAGTTCTCAACAGCCCCTGAGGTACTAATACATGTCTCACAGGTGAAGAGATCATGCTTTAGTGCTATTAATGACAGATCATGATCATGAATGTAGTGTGCAGGATTGATATACATTACTATAAAAAAATTCTATCAATTTCAGTGTTTCTTTGGTCTATTTTCATAAATAGTTTTCGTTACAGGATTGTCTTCATCTTGGCCTGCAGGTAATTCAAAGCATTTTTTGTATTGCTAGTGTAAAAAGTGAAACATAATATCTAACATCATTAATGGATAAAAAAATGAAACTATTTGCACTGTAACCCTGAGCTTGTCAAACCTCCAGGCTACAACATGCAAACCGGCATGATTTCCATTTTGAAAATTATGTATATTTAGGAGCACAACATAAAGTCAAATAAAATAATCCCTGAATTTTTACCTGCAATAAGGCCCTAACACATTATTTCTTAGACCTGAAAAATAGCTTCTTTGTAAGCATGGACGCAAAGCAAGGCACTTGTTTTTTGCCTAAAGCAGAGCGATCCTTGCAGTTTTCTACACTGCGATTGGAAACCTTCCTGTTAACAAGTGTCAGGATATCAGTGAACTCCAGTGTAGATCCATAACGCCTCAGGATTTCACACAGATCCTGGATATACCATGAGCCATTCACCGTCTCACGATGAGAGTAATATCCTTTACAAGAAGAAAAAAAGTCAGTAACTGCTTAGTGACAAAACTGTAAAATCAAGGATGTAAACTGCATTTAATCCAGTACTTAAAGTACACCATTAACAAATCTTGGTAAAACAAAGCACTGACCTTCAGCTACTGAATAGCACATGAGGAAATCTGCTCCTGCTGGAAGGGTGCAGAGCGCCCCCGCATCCACAAACACTTCAATGTCCGTCTGACTGTCCACCACATCCATTGGTGTCACAGCATCATCATGTTTGTCCCCACGACAAGCCTTATGTTCAAAGAAATTCATGCATTTGCAAGAGGTGTGAAATGTGTTTTCATATTGCATTACTGTAAATACACCGCAAAGGACATTTTGTGGAAGGAGGACAAATTACCTGCAAGATGAAGATCTTGGGTTTCCCTACAAGGCTACGGCATTTATTCCCCTTGAACAAATCAGTGATTTCTTGAATTTGGATCTGCCCATCATTGGCAAAGATGTGACCATTTTCCCCATGACTTAAAAAGACACAGACAAAACAGTCTGCATCTACATGGTTCGCAGCAGCAGCTGAAATCAAAGGAACACCCTGGATTAAACAGAACCTAAACTTTATTTGGAGCATGATTTTGACTTTTCCCTCAAGTTATAATTTACATTAATGATGAAGTTGATTCTAGCACACCAGTCAGTGCTATAGCTATAATTTTGAAACAGTGTGATGAATTTCACACTTTTTCATATTTATTCTGGTGCTGACTTCAGTTGTAAGTATATTAATATATATATATATATGTTTTTCAAATTGAGAGAAGAGTCCAATTTTTTTGTGGTAATCAAGAGTAGAGCTTTTTTGAAACTTTTTAAACTGCAGTAGTCAACATCTGAAGTGGATCAAAAAAGTTAATCAAAGTTGTCCTGAGACAAGAACGCATTTTGGTTTTAGGTTTTAGGACGACTTTGATGAAAGGTTTTGATCCGTTATATATAAAAAATAAAAATAATGTGAGAAAATTGTAAAATAATTATATCACACATATATACACATACATATAGATGTGCAGGTGCATCTCAAAAAATTAGAATATCACGGAAAAGTTCTTTTTTGTAATTTAATTTAAAAAAAGCAAACTTTCTTATATTCTAGATTCATTGCACAAAACTGAAATATTTCAATAGTTTTTTTTTGTTTTAATTCTGATGGTTATGACTTGCAGCTTAGGAAAATTAAAAATTCCATTTTGAGCTTTATTAGTTTGATCAATTTTGAGTATAAATACTGGGTACCTGGGTCCTGGGCTAATTTAAAACATACAACCACAATTATGGGGAAGACTACTGACTAGACAGTTGTCCAGAAGATGATCATCCACACCCTCCACAAGGAGGGTAAGTCACAGAAGGTCATCTCTGAAAGGGCTGGCTGTTCACAGAGTGCTGTTGTATCAAATATATATTCATAGAAATTTGACTGGAAGGAAAAAGTGTGGTAGGAAAAGGTGCACAAGCAACAGGGATGACCGTAAGTTTGAGAATACAGTCAAGCAAAGCCGAGTGAAGTTTCCGAAGTCAGTGATGATTTGGGGTGCCGTGACATCTGCTGGTGTTGGTCCACTGTGCTTTATCAAGTCCAAAATCAATGCAACCGGCTACCAGGATATTTTAGAGTACTTCATGCTTCCTTCTGCTAACAAGCTTTTTGGAGATGCTGATTTAATTTGGTAGCAGGACTTAGCACCTGCCCACAGTGCCAAAACCACTTCTAACTGGTTTGCTGACCATGATATTACTGTGCTTGATTGGCACCTGTATATGTGTGATATAATTATATTAAAAAATTTAAACCGTGCCAAAGATGCTGTTGATAAGCTGCTGTGTTTTACCTGGAACATTTAAGTTGGGCTCCCATTTCTCAAAACATGCATTAAAGAGAAAATATTGAGGCACCTTCTCCGATTGTGGATAAAACTTCTTCCCGTTTGTAATCATCACAAGCCTTCACTTCAAAACCCAGCTCCTGAAATCTGACAACAGATATGAAAGAAAATTGACAAATTAGTTATTGTTCTGTTACTTTAATAAAATACAGGAAAATTACTGTTTCTTTATCAACCAACACAGCGACACAGTCATGTTAGTGAGGCAAACACAGATCTCAGTGACAGTGGTCATGTGATACTGTTACTGTCTGGTGTACATATAACAATTTGAGCACTATAATTATGTATTTTTGATTACTTTGCCAAATACCTTCTAACAAGGTTCTGCCTGTCTGCATTTGTGCCAGAGCGGCTGTTCAACATGAGCTGCCAGTAAAAATTTTCATGGTTAAAGATCAGAGCCATTCCTCGCTTCTTGTGGTCCATCTTATACTCCTCATTAGGATCCAGACTGAATACACTGACAAACGAGATATAAAACAATATAAATATGCTTGAACTCCAAACTGTACAATTTCTACATGGTTACAATAAGGGTTTTTTACCTTTGATTAATGCTATCAGTTTCTGTTACGTTCTCTCTGACTGAAAGAAAAGGCAAAATCAACACAAACCACTAAAATTTGATTTGCAAAGCAAGAATATGAGATATGCAAATGTTCAGAGGACGTATTCAAGTCACAAAGATTCAAACCACAGTGAAAGATATTGGAGTAACTGTGGCGTAAAAAAAAATAAATTGGCGTAATAGAATGAAGACCTAAAGTTCAGTGAAAATACACTAAGGTCAAGCATGTATTGTTTGTTGAGCACCTGGTCAGGCTGGATTTCAATGGCTTTACAACCAGGTTGTCAAGCATAGCAGAGCTAACATAGGCAAATTCTATATTTACACTTTACAGATCCTTCTCTCTTCTTCATTTTGCTACTCAGGTCATACACGAGTTATAAACTGGATTCAATTCTACCTGTCTGTCCCGCTAAAGCGCTGTCCTTCTCCACAGACCCTAAGGAGAAAATAAAAACATATTCGGGACTTTAACAGCATATGAATTGCGTTATTGAGCCAGAGGACTCCGGTTGTAAATCATACTTGATGTGTATGACCGTGAATACTTGTGATTCATGTTTAGACAAGCACCACCTACTTCAGGTGCTGGAATAAGGAAATGAAGCCTGCAGTGTCTTATGAACAACATTAAGTGTGTCCAAATATTTAGTTAGGCTACTTTTCTTACAGGATAACTAGATAAACAGCTTACCGGATTCATCGCTCTTGACGTGACTTGCCATCGCTGCTTCAGCGGAGAGAAACTGTGCGATCCTGAGAAAGGTTTTAACAACAAACTACTGTAACAACAGCAAACACAGAACTGACTAGTCACCAAGCGCAACAGTTAACCTATGAAAAATGGCACTGAAACGTTAACCAATCACAGGCCACTACTACCTTAACCAATCACAGGTCGGTAAAATGTCAACCAATCGGAGGCGGTCTGTCGCGGTCGAACCTTTGGTCGAACTGGTCGGACTCGGTGAAGCTGGTTACAACTTCCGCGTTGAATTCCTCCTTTCTTTCCTTCTGTCTTTCTCTGTAGCAACTACATTCAGCATTCTATTCTATTTAGGTCTGTAGGCATTTTCTCTACGGAGTTAAGAAAGGGAATTTATCCAAATAAATAAATAAACAGGCTAATTCAATAACCTCGATTTATTATAATTTTATAGTTAAAAATATAATTATTAAAATAAGATTATATTACTTAAAATATTTTAATAGGATTTAAAGGTATTTAAGGGATTTAAATGAGGATTTAATGGGCTAAAAAAAGAGAGAAAACGACAGTTATTGTATGGTAATGCATTTGACAAAACTCAATACTAAAAGACAGGATCTATTGTACTGTGACCAAAGTGTCATGCATGTTTGTGGACAGATCTCTAAACGTCAATCTTTTCAACATTTAAGACACAATGTAATAGGCTATTCACAAACACCATAATCCACAGTATAATTAATCCCATAATTGCTAATTGTTGCTAATAGTGTGTATGCAATGAAAGTTAAGTATGTTTGCACTCTAAGATGATTTTCAAGTTTGACTGCCATTTAACTGGAGTTTCTTGCTGTGTTTCTTCCTCTTTCAAACTGAAGTAAGTTCTCAACAGCCCAGGAGGTACTAATGCACGTCTCACATATGAAGAAGAGATCATGCCTTAGCTGTTAATGACAAATCATGATCATGAATGTAGTGTGCAGGAGTGATATACATTACAAGAAAATGTTATGAATTACATTTTTTCATCTGTCTCCTTTAATTTATCTTTTTAGTTTCAGCACAGAGTTTTCCTTGCACTAATTACTGGGAATGTGATGTCCTCACCTGGCCTGTAGGTAATTCAAAACATTTTTGCATTGCTACTGTCTGATACAGTGCGGTAAAATAAACAGTAAACTGGATATCATCTGGGTTAAAAATGAAACTAAAACTGAAATAAGTTGCACTTTGTAACCTTGAGTTTGTCAAACCTCCAGGTTAAACATGCAAACCTGAATGATTTCCATTTCTGAAATTGAATATATAGGAGTTTAATATAAACTAAATAATAAAATAATATAATCCCTGATTTTGCACCTTCAATAGGGCCCTAGCACTACTGTACCTTCTTGAAAATATATATGATGCATATTTTTTATATAAACAGTAAAACAATGCATTTGAACAACAGCAGCTAAAATAAGTATTGAACACGTCACAATTTTTCTCAGTAAATATATTTCTAAAGGTGCTGTTGACATGAAATTTTCACCAGATGTCAGTAACAACCCAAGTAATCCATACTTACAAATAAAACAAAACAAATAAGTTCAGAAATTAAGTTATGTGTAATAAAATGGAATGACACAGGGAAAATTTATTGAACATGAAGAAAGGGAAGTGCAAAAAGGGAAAGCCAAGACACCAGCTGAAATCTATCAGTAATTAGAAAGCAATCCTGCCCCTAGTCAGTGGAAATTAATATTAGCTGCTTCAGTCCCAACACCTACAGTACCAGGATGATGAAGATTATGAAACAAGGGTGGACATTTCAGCAAGACAATAATCCAAAAGAAAGCCAAGGAAGCTCTCACTTGGTTTCAGAAAAAGAAAATAAAGCTGCTAAAATGCCAATTACCTGATTTGAATCCAATAGAAAATAAGAACTAAAGATCAGAGTTCATAGAAGAGGCCCACAGAACCTTCAAGATTTAAATACTGTTTGTGTGTAAGAATGGGCCAAAATCACACCTGAGCAATGCATGCGTCTAGTTTCTCCATACAGCAGGCGTCTTGAAGCTGTCATTACCAACAAAGGCTTTTGTACGAAGTATTAAATACATTTCAGTAGTTCAATACTTTTCCCCTGTCATTCCATGTTATTACACATTACTTAATTTCTGAACTTATTTGTTTTCTTTTCTTTGTAAGTATGGATTACTTGGGTTGTTATCAACATCTGGTGAAAATTTCATCTCAACAGCACCTTTAGAAATTGTAGCGCTTGGACTAATTAGACACATATTTATGATTATATACATATACATATCATTATATTTAAAGGGGTCATATGATGCTGCTAAAAAGAACATTATTTTGTGTATTTGGTGTAATTAAATGTGTTTATGCGGGAAAGGAAAAATTGAAATCGCATCATATGACCCCTTTAATGAATAATCCAGCAAACCCCCTCAGTTAACAAGCCAACTGTGAGGGTCTATGGACCCTTAGTTCTCCCGAAAGAGCACCCTAAAGGGCTCAGTTACCAGGGCAACCATCTGATAAGAATGTTTTATTCCTCAAAAGTATGAGAGATGCGACGTGCAGTAAGAACGGGACCCTTCTAAAACCCATGCAATGCCCATAAAAAGGGAACTTTCCTCCTTTCCACCCATAGACAAACCTTTCTATGAATAAACATGCATCCCAGGACATTGTCTGTATGATTTTAACTGTCTTGTAAAGTGTCTCTTGCATTGTATTTTGTTTTATGCATGCTTTATGAGTGAAGTACTAGTTAATGTAACCCCACCTATATCATGTTTCCTATCAAATTAATGCTCATTTAACAATGCACACTTTTGTGTACACCACGTCCTCATAGAATGCCTTGTGTGTTTGTAATTTAAGCAGAGTATAGACTGCCAGAGCCATTTGAACCATGCTCTCAGACAAAGAGTCATAAAACCCCCAATATTTCCAACCTCCCGCTTGGAAATTCAGCCTTTCTCATTGGTCAAGCCCATCCTGAGAAGCGTGGCTTTTCCCAGACTTTAAAGGGCTCATGCACAGTTTTGCCTGCTCTCTTCTGCTAAATCTTCTGATTTCTGCCCGTGTGGAGCGACTCACGGAGAGCCTGAGCCGGCACGGGCGCACCCGGCGGGCCCCAACAGAGCTGTGTGCGGTCTCCCCAGCCTGCGGAAATGGGTCTCGACCACAAAGAATCAGACTAATACCACTGGAGTTCGTCTTCACTCAACCCTGGAATTCACCATCATGGAAATGCCCTCAATCAGACATTTCTCTCTCTTCGCTCCCGGCAGCATCTTCATCTCTGGATTGCGGCCTGCAGTTCCACTGTGGCCCATAGGGCCAGCAGGCCCCATTTTACACCCAGCCATGTGCTTACTCAGGAGAGAGGACTCTCTCAACCACAACAGAGTCAAGAACAACCTCAGAGTTTCAAGAGATTGCAACTTTGGCCATCGAATGAAACCATCCAGACCTTCTTCAGAGGCTTCACGAGACTCTCGTTCCACAGCCAATCCAATGCAAGCATCGTTCCTTTCACCAGACAGAGGTTTGATGTAAGCTATCGTATACTGTGCTTTGAATTAGAGACTGATGGTTCTTTCAGATGGTCAACTCAGCCTCATCCCCCCTACTTCTGTCCGGTTCTATTCATCCACTTACCTTTCCCATGCGTGATTTGTGGGTGTGCGTTTGTTCAGACTAGTTATATGTTTGTGATTTAGTTAATAAAACTTTTGGTGCACAAATTACATGAGTTTCTGATTCTGTCACCGCTTTGTGAATAATGTCCCTTTTACGATCCGATCTAGCTACATGCTCTAATGCATTAATACTGTAAGAAGGTTCTTTTCTGTGGCCACGAAAATTTCATTTCTTAAGAGTTGATATGAAATTACACTGAATGTTCGCTGGTCAAACAGATTAGTTGATGACAATATTAATTCTGCTACAGTTACTACTGGCAGCTGATATAAATAATTGTAATTAATTATAATTAAGTGTAATTATTTATATATTTCCCTTTTGATCTAATTTGCTACAAAATAATTTACGTGTTCAATACTTATTTTACTCGCTGTATTTGTAAATAATATTTTCCTGAAAGACTTTAATGAAAGCCAAGTAACTGTTCATTACATTGATTCAAAATTACATGAGTTTCTGATTCTGTCACCGCTTTGTGAATATTGTTCCTTTTATGATTCCGATCTAGCTATATGCTCTAATGTATTAGTACTGTAAGAAAGTAATTTTCTGTGGCCACGAAAATATCCTTTCTTAAGAGTTGATATGAATTTACACTAAATGTTCGTTGGACGAACAGATTAGTTGATGGCAATTTAATTCTGTTACAGTTACTACTGGCAGCTCATATAAATAATTGCATTTAATCATAATTAAGTGTAATTATTTATATACATTTCCCTTTTGAGCTGATTTGCTACAGTGATATTGGAAGTATTTTTAAACATTAATTTCTTATTTATTTGGTTCCACATGTTTGCGGATTATAATTTATTTAAACTGTGTAGCCTATTTTTATTTTACATCAAGTATGCCATGTCTCAAATCTTTCTTATTCATTTTGCTAATAAACGTACGTTTCTTATTTATTTGGTTCCACAGTGTTTACTGATTTTCAGTTTTGTATACCTAAACTTTGTGCAAGTTATTTGTTATTTTATATTAGGCATATAGCATAGTGTATTTTTATTTGTTTTGTTAATAAAAGTTCTATGTATTTTGTTGTTGCTTGAATTTAATTCAAGCAATTGACGCCAAATTGCCGCTAATTTGAAAGTGAAGGTAAAATGTGCATGCACTTTTAAGCTATTTAAAAGCGGAGGAAAGCGAGGAAAAGAGGGAAAACTAACAAACTAACTAAAAACAAACAACTGCTTGATACCGAATTGCCGCTAATTTTAAAGTGAAAGTAAAATGCGCACGTCGCTTTTAAAAGCTATTTAAAACAGAAGGAAAATGAGGAAAAGAGGGAAAACTACCCCCCTCCCCCTGCCGGTGATGATATAAATAATTGTAATTAATTATAATTAAGTGTAATTATTTATATATTTCCCTTTTGATCTAATTTGCTACAAAATAATTTACGTGTTCAATACTTATTTTACTCGCTGTATTTGTAAATAATATTTTCCTGAAAGACTTTAATGAAAGCCAAGTAACTGTTCATTACATTGATTCACAACACACACACATTCATTCTTAAGTTTGTGTCTACTACACTGAAAACAGCTCTGTTAATTTTTCTTATTTTAATGAAGAATGACACACACACACACACACACACACACACACACACACACATTCACGCACATGTTGGGTTTGCATGTTTTATAGGGATATTACACAGACGTAATGATTTTTATACTGTACAAACTGTATTTTCTATCCCCTTACCCTAAATCTACCCCTCACAGAAAAAATTCTGTATCATTTAAAAGCTTGTTTTCTCATGGGGACCAAAATGTCCCCAAAAGGACACGAATTTTGAATATTGCCATTTTTGTGGGGACATTTTGTCCCCATAACGTAGGGTATACCTGCAGCACACACACACACAAACACACACACACACACACACACACACACACACACACACACACACACACACACACAC